AGACGTAGACGGGTTATAATGTTTATAGAGTTTACTAAACTTTTTCAGAAATTTTTATAAGAAAGAAATTCTATGTGAAGAATCTAAGTTGCAGGGGAGTCAATGAGAAAGTGCGGGAGAGGAATGTAGGAAGAGAGAGAGGAGAAATTTTTCTCTCTATGGCTCCCCTACATTCTATGGTAACCAGATGTCATCTGTTTACCTCGTGACATCCCGCCCGCTATTGACACTCCCTCTCCACTTGAGAATGGAATTTTGTGTACCTCCGCAAGCTCTGGGAACACCACCAAACTTTGTTTATTCCGCCTTTAAACCTTGTAGATGATAATCCCTACAAGTTTATTCCTTTTCCATAAGTGATTTACTAGCCCAAAAGAAGCTAGTAGCTCACACCCTTGAAGTGCAAGCCTAAAGATTGGAGTTGTCAATTGGACAAGACAAATTGATCCTCAGTCAATACATCAATCCTTAGGCAGTTAGTAAAAATACAACATGACCTGCTTCCGTTTTAATTTGGCTGTTGGTATTTGCAGCCCACAAAAAAACCATGTAGGTGCTGGCCAAATTACGTCTACAGGGCTTTTTCCCACGAAAAAGCACCTAAAAATATGATGTATGTGCTCAAAACTTTTTAAAATGATGCCTACAGGTTAAAAAACCCATGTAGGTGTCATTTGGATACGCCTACATTCTAAAAATGAAATGCAGGCGCTTTTTTTCAGCGCCTACATATGCAATTCAAAATGTAGGCGCTATTTTCAAGCGCCTACATGGGAAACTCAATGCAGGCGCTGTCTTTGAGCGCCTACATCTCAAAAAAATCATGTAGGTGTGATTTTTTGTAATTCTTGAGCGCCCACATTCCATTTTCTGTATGTAGGCGCTGGCAATTGAGCACCTGCTATGTAGGCGCTTAAAAATTACGCCTACATGGTTTTTAAGGCATGTAGGCGTAAATTACAAGCGCCTACATTTTTGGCTCAAATAAGCGCCTACGTCACCGTGCCCGTTGGTAGGGCCCCCGGCGTCGGGGGCCTTCAAGTGATTGTAGGTTATTGACATTTTTATTCATTTTCGCGAAGAATAAGCGCAACAAAACACTTAGCAGAACTCCATTCTGAGTAGCTGCTGAACGTGTTGAACTGTCTCGAAACTTCTCAATCATTACTGAACCATCTCAACAGGTCTCAACACCTCAGGAAATCACTGAACGATCTCAACACCAAGAACATTCTCCCCAGCACGATGATTCAGCGCGTAGATTGGGTTACCATTACCAACTTCCATGAATTTAGGTAGATCAGTTACACCTGAAGGAAATCCAAATGATTATCCCCTTTAGGTGATTTGAGTAATAATAGTACCCTACATTTGAAATGAGTCATAATTACAGAAGACCATTAGGAATCGAATCACTTAAATCAAATCGACCGTCCAAACAAATTTCATCACCCAATAATCGACCGTTCTCCCTCCCAATTAATTGACTACAAGAGGAGCACAAGCACCACCTGCTACTTCTTCTACAAGTGAAAAACAGATGATATCAATCGATATCTCAATGTATTTAAATCCTTTGTAATCTATCTGAAATGTTTGAGCGCATTTTTAGAGATATCGATTAGTAAAACCAAGCTCTGACAAGAGGGTATCATTCGATTCATAATCGATTTGAAAAGTGAGGTTGAGATATTTACATAATAAGTATAAAGCCCACAAGCCAATTTATAAAATCTATTCAAAAACTTTTGTAATCTATGTACTAGCGTGCTCTAGCGTGACTTCAAGTAGACATCTGCTAGTAAAGTGTGAAGCTCTGTAAAAGCCGGTACAGTAGTGAGAAAAGCTCTTTCCGTGACAGAGAGCTTGGAAAGAAAGATGGGACAATAGAAGTTGATCGGCAAGCCTTTCTTCACACGGCTTGAGGAATCCACGCGTATGGCAGGTTTCCGTCTTCTGTCAAGCCTTGTAGCCGCGTATCTGGATCCTTTTGAACTAGAAATGTACTTATACGATAGCTTGTCCACAGCGTGCAAGAACTCTGCATACTCTGGGCTTCTCCAGATCATACCTACTGCACGAGCTGGACATTCTCCATCATCCTCGGTATTGGAGCAGCATCCAACATCGGGAAGTAAGGTCAAGGTATCGGCTTTTAAGACTTCTTCAATGGTTGCTTGTCGATATGCTAACATCTGGAATATTACGCACAATCAGCTACAAGAAATCCACAACGATCTATGAAACTTCGTACCTGAGCTTTGTCTTTCTTCCTTTTATTCTTCAGTTTGAGGTTTTGGTTTCTGCGCTGTCTATGCGCCTGATCAGATTGACCACGCAGCCATCGCTCCAGGATGCCCATACAGATCGGATCACTATCATGCTCTGGATTGACTTTGTATTTAGAGAATGAATCCAGCACCATCGCACGTCTGAAGAACTTCACAACAAACGCCAAGATTGTTTGATTCCAAGGCGATTTATCAGACTGCTCCCATGCGAAGGTCGCGCGCGGGAAACCAAAGATGCGGAGGTCTTGTAAAAAAAGACGTCGGGTTGTTGTCCAGCAGTTCTTCTGTCGACGGGAATTTTTCGTTGCAGATGGACTAGCTGGGGCCAAAGGCATAGCAAATACACGAAGATCATTGATGACATCGTCATATGTTACGTCTGGTAGTTGAGATAATTCATTCTGAGTCGGTTCTGGGGGATGAGCGGTAGAAGTCTTTCCAAGTAAGAACTTGACGAAATCGATGACAGCTTGAGAGAAATTAGAGTTCCGATCAGGCAACGACTGCGCGACTTCTTTGTTTTGAGACTTGATGGAGACTGCTCGATGGTTTTCTTCATTCAGAGCCATAGTACAATGTGATTTGATTTGAGATAGATTGGAAAATGATATTTGTAAGGATAGTAAGGATACGGAAAGGATACGGAAGGCTGGGGAGACGTAAAAAGGAGACAAAATCAAACAGGATGGGATGTTTGACACTTCTATTATGAATGGCTGTGATCACGGCGGATCAAGAGAACAAGGGGAACAGGGGGAAACATAAGAACAATGGTGTATAGTCAAACTTAACCCGGGCTCTAGATCACAAAAACTCAGCACTGGGATACCTTTGTCTCTAGTAAAAAGCGAATCTAATCCCAATAAGCGGTATCAGATCAGCGGTATCAAAATACTCATGAAGAGGTTACGAAGAAAGCGTTGCATTGAATCGGTAAGATTGTTCAGACCTCCCAAGTATCAATCCAGAAACTAATAATGTACAAATGTAAAAAGAAATAGTATCTCATCTAAAAAGGAAAAACATGTACAACTAACAAAAAACAATACATAAATCTAGCAAAAAGATAAGGTATACATATAACAAAAAAGATATGTATCTAGCAAAAAAACAACAACAAAGACAGCATGCACATCTTATGAAGAAAAATGAAATGGAGAAAACAAGCAAATTAAACACAATCACTAAAAACACTCTGGAGACATGATGATGTGCATTATCTACGTCCTGTGTCTGGCTTGCGCCAATCCCGTGCCTCTTCAATGAGCGCTTGAATATCACAATTTTTGTGAGAGAGCCGCAACTCTTCTTTCAACGCCTTCGATATAGATGACAGGTAAGTATTGCTGACCATAAACCCGGGCAATCCTTTAGGAGGGTGACAAGAAACCCTTTGTTCCTCTTCCATCTCCCGATGCTTGCCACGCTCCAAAGTTTTGATTGCTGTAGTATGATCCTTGCTTTCGGTTTGACAATTGATGTACAGCTTGTCAAGTTCATGAAGGAAAGTTCCTAAAGCTCTTGATCGCCAAGGTAACTTTAATCTGAACCGAGTCCCAGAGTCATCAACCTCGTCCTCCGAATGAATGGACGCTGTGGTTAGGAGACGGCGTAGCTCAGTGTGAGATGAGAAGTACTTTTTCATTGCTTTCTCGCGCATCTCAGAGACCTTCAATGGCATTGCAGTTGTAAGCCACATGTTCAAAATGAACTATTGTATTAATGAAAAGACTGACCCTCTTTCGGGATCGCTTGCGCGCACCCTTCTCACGTGAAGATAACTGCTTGACCTGCAGTTCGTGTTCTCGCGCAGAATTTTCCGCTATGGTTGACTCTTCGTGAAGGTCTGGTGAATATTTTTGCCGCTTATTCTCATACCATCTTTCCAAGATGAGAAACTCGTTTTCAGGTGTGACGAGGTTAGTATCTATAGCATATTCATCAGCTCCGCCTCGACGGTAACATTTGTCCCACTGTTGCAGAATAAGGGTAGAAACAGCTTCGTTCCAAGTCGTTTTCAGGGGGCTGTCCCAGTCAAAAGTACACCTTGAAAACCCCGCCAGTGCTAAGGCGGCTTCACAAGTCCTCGCCTCTTGGATAGAATACTTGAGTCTTGGATTCCTAAGTGGTACTCGCGACACAAAATCAATTGGCTGAATTTGTGAGTTGGCTTCCTCAGCTGCGTCGGCCTCCACCATGAGGATATATTTTTCTTTCGCGGATGGATGAGTTCGTAAGTAACGTTCACGAGCAATATTCATAGCTTTCTCAATGTACTTCCTTCTCGCTAGTCTTCGTTGTTCCCAGGCCAGACATTCTTCAGCCGAAGGAGGGTCGGGGAGAGTACCAGAGGATTTCACCGTCCGACCTTTGCGTTGCACACCAAGGAGAAGCTTAACATAGTCCTGAATAGCAATAGCCATTGCACTATGATGCGAAGGGGTTTTCTTGACGCTAGCATACTTCTCCAAGCGTTTTGCACCGTGTCTATGTTTTGTTTCCTTGGCTCTTCGATTTTTACGTTTACGATTGTACATGATGTCTTCTGATAGATCAATTGTACCTTCCGAATCAGAGTTTGAATCTATGGAGTTTAGCTCCGAATGTGATTCTGAATGTGATTCCGAGCCATCAGAATCCAGCTCATCTGAATCTGTGAAGGCAAATCGTCAGCAATGAGTTTTTTCATCCGACATGGTAAGAGTTCAGTTACTTACTTGGTTCAGTGAACAACGATGGAGTATGATTGGTGGAAGTTGATCGGGATGGACCAGAGATAGGCAATTCGCCTCGAGAAACTGTAGGTCGCGACATCTGGTCTGATCGGGATGGACCAGCGATAGGCAATTCGCCTCGAGAAACTGTAGGTCGCGAGATCTGGTCTGATCGGGATGGACCAGTGATAGGTGATTCGCCTCGAAGAGAAACTATAGGTCGCGACAGCTGGTCTGGTCGGGATGGACCAGTAAGAGGAGATTCGTCTCGAAGAGACACCGTAGGTTGCCGCATCTGGTCTGATCGGGATGGACCAGCGAGAGGCGATTTGTCTCGAAGAGACACCGTAGGCTGCCGCATGTGGTTCGATCGGGATGGACCAGCAAGAGGTGATGGTGATCTCTCTTGAAGAGGAAACATGTGGTCTGATCGGGATGGACCAGCAATAGGTGATTTGCGTCGTAGAGACACCGTAGGTCGCGACATCTGGTCTGATCGGGATGGACCAGCGATTGGCAATCTCTCTTGAAGAGAGACCAAAGGTCGCGACGTCTGGTCTGATCGGGATGGACCAGCGGTAGGGTACTTGCCGCGAGGAACCGTAGGTTGCGACATAGGTTGAGATTGAAATTGATGACTAGATGAAGAGCACAAGCTTATCGAAGCGGGATTGTAGGGGGGCATTGTTTGCTCGAGAGGCTCGGCTCTTGATCGTGTATCACTGAAGTAGTGATCATCCTCATCATATACAGTGCCATTAAGGCGATCACTATAAGTAATTTGACACTCTGAGGAATTATCGTTGTGGTTTGGGTTTGAAAGTTGCGGGCAAGGGAGAGCACTCGCCGGCGCAGCTTGATGAGTTGAAATTGGCAAGGGCTGTGTTGAGGTTGAAGTGGGGTGTCTTGTGCGTGGTGAGAAATGGGGTATGTCGGGAGCTGGATGCGTGTGTTGTGTTGAATAAGTGAAGGTTTGGTATTGATGGGTGTAGGGATCAGAGAAGACCTCTTGCATTGATTCAGATGTAGATGTTTCACCTCGGTCATACTGCCAATATTGGTTTCCATGCTGAAGTGGGGGTATGTTGTGAAAATTCGGTATGGAATAAGTGATCAAAGGTGAGTTAGAAACCAAGGAGTCGCGTAGAGGGTTCAAACTGTCAGCTTTAGAGGTGAGTGATGAAGATTGGATAGCCGTATTAATTTTGGGAGCCACAGAAACAATGTTCGAAGATTTGGGGAGATTCTGCGTTGCATCGCTATTGTCAAACTTGTTTACAGCCAAAAGTGCTGCGGTATTGAGCTGGTCCCGTGAGCGTTTTGTATGTTTAAATCGATTGATTTTAGAAATGGATTGTTCTTTTTGTGCGATCGTGGGAGCATGTTCAATTCGGTCACACGGGTTATTGTGCTCCAGAGGGATTTTAGCTAGAGATGTACGTTGCGTATTGTAGATACTCAAGTTGAGTGATGAGGATTGAGTGGCTTTATCTGTTGAGGCGGGATTTGGAGCAGTTCGAGAGTTGGGTGTGATGACTGATGTTGGGGCTGAACATTCTGGATCACAGTGTCTTTGAGAATGCGGCACACTTTTATGAGTGACAAAGTCTGTGTTCTCAAAGGTAGGTTGAATCAAATATGAGTTATTGAGCAGAAAATTAAAGCAGAAAACCAATTGATCACTGAAATACTGACATTCTGGGACCATACTCATTTCACTCGACGGAAGTTCCAATGGAATTGATTCAGCATTGAATCAAGAAGATCGTCAAGGGCT